CTTTCTTTCTTTCTTTCTTTCTTTCTTTCTTTCTTTCTTTCTTTCTTTCTTTTTTTATGTTTATTTATTTTTGATAGAGAGACAGAATATGAGTGCAGGAGGGGCAGAGAGAAAGGGAGACACAGAATCCAAAGCAGGCTCCAGGCTCTGAGCTGTCAGCACGGAGCCCGATGCGGGGCTCAAACCCATGAACTGTGAGATCACAACCCGAGCTGAAGTTGATGCTTAACCAACTGAGCCACCCAGGCGCCCCTGTTCCAGAACCTTTCCGAATCTCTGCAGCGTGTAAGAATTCATATATGGTAGCTTGGATACGTGCTCCTCTTAACACTGATTTCCTTCCTTTGATTTTACAGGTAAAAGGAAAGAGTCAGAGGTGAAAAAGAAGAGCCAGAAGAGAAAGAGGAAATCTCGAGTGGAGGACAGTGACTCCAAGGGGGCAGGAAACTGGAAGCACGGAGCTTTCTCTACCGAACTGGTGCTGATGCCGCTCCTCGCAGGTAGTTACACCTGTTCCCAGCAGTTCTTAGTTGTCTGGTCCCACGTGGCTAGAATGTCCATAAACAGGATGCTTGCATTGACCAAGCCTCTCCTCTGCCACCTACTTCCACGCTCACAGCCATTTCAGCAAAATGGAGGTGTCTCCATTACACAGAGGAGGAAAAAGAGGCGCAGAGAGGTCAGCTGGGTTGTCCGAGATCACACCAGCAAGTAAAGGCAAGGCCAGGATTGGAACTCAGGTCTGATTCCGAAGTCCAAAGAAACCTGTGAGAATAACTGCCCTGATTTTGTTTTCTAAATAGGATGCTGCTTTTTATAAACGCCTTCCTGCAGAGTTTTACAAAAACATCTAGTAAAGGAAATGAGGAAAAGGAACCAGTGTTCCTGGCCCATCATTTACTGCTCATGGCAAACTCTGATCCTCCCGGTGAACTTGTAACTGTGGTGTTGGGCTCGCTCTCCTTTATTCTGTGAGGGACCAAAACTCAGAGAAGTCAGAGTAACCTACTTGAGGTCACAGAGCTCAGTGGCAGGACAGGGGTTTCATTCTTCTGCTTTGTAAGATCTATCACAATTTAGAAATGAGGCTTTCTCTGGCTTAAATAATAAATAGTAGACATGTTATATCCATAGGTTGTGCTCATGGAAAGCTCAGGATATATTTTGGGTAACATTATGTGACTTCGTTTCTGAAATAGTATATGGGGGGAAACCCTTCTCTTTTAGAGAAGGTAATTTTCGAGACTAATTCATTGTAAATTTTTTTTGGCCATCAGGGTAAATGTGCGCCCTCTACTGGTCAATCTGCAGAAATTTAGGCTTCCGTTTTGGGATGGAACCCACCTTTGCAGCTGCTTGGGGTTTTACCTCCTAAAGTCAGTGTCGAGTGACTGGAAAATCATTTCTCACAGGCTCTTGGGTTGATATTGATACAGTTTGAGGAAATACCTTTAACTTTTTAGTTTTTACTTTTAGTTATTTAAAAAAAAATTTTTTTTAACATTTATTTATTTTTGAGAGAGAGAGTGTGTGTGTGAATGGAGGAGGGGCAGAGAGAGGAGGGGACACAGAATCCAAAGCAGGCTCCTGGCTCTGAGCTGTCAGCACAGAGCCTGACGTGGGGCTTGAACTCACGAACTGTGAGCTCATGACCTGAACTGAAGCTGAATGCTTAACTGACTGAGCCACCCAGGTGCCCCTATATGTTTGTTTTTGCCATAAAATAATAGCATAAGACTATTCCAAGACCAGCATGATAATTTTTGGTAATCATCTTCAATTTCAAATTAGGCCATAGGCTTTGCATCCCTGAGTGAAGAATGCTGGTTGGCTAGTAACACATTAAGATTCTAGAAAGATTCTGTGTTTGGAACGAGCTTTTAACTTTCTATTATGGCATAGCGGAGGGGCCAAGCGTAGCCAGGCAGGACTGGCTTGGACATGGGTTCTGCCACTTATGGGCCAGGAGACCTCGGATGGCGTCTCACCATTTCTGGACCTCGGTTTCTCTATCTACAAAGCAGACATTATGGCGGCCACACAGGGCTGTTCTCAGGATCAAATGGCATGAATGCAGGCTCAGGTCTGGCCGTTTCGGTGCACACACTGTGTGGCGTTCATTCCCCCGCTCCTTTTCTCTCCTCGGCTTGGGCACGTGTGCCTCCCCCCACTCCACCCCCCACAGTGTGAGAATGTATTTTCGTTGTCACAGGTGGGAGCAGAGCGTTAGAGGGTTGCTGCTAACTGCCCCACGATACACAGGACGGTCCCCACAACAGAGAACTCTCTGTCCTCAAGTGTCTGTGGTTTTGAGGTTGGGAAACCCTACCCTGGAATTATGGCTCTCCCTGCCCTAAATTTCTGAATGATGATTTGAGTGCATGTTTGCACGGGAGATTTCTTCTAAACTGGGCAGTCTTTTTCTACGAAGAGGCTTGCAAAGTTCTAGAACACAAATCATAATTAGTTATGGCCTTAATGAGTCAGCTCCGTTGAAAAAAGAGATGTGGGAGCACTGAGGGCTGCTCCCCTGGAGCTGCACACGGCCCCACGCTCATGGCCAGACACGCTGGGCCCATAACTTGTTTTGGAAGTGACTGCTCTTTTTTTTCTTTACTCTTTGTTTTTTTTAACGTTTGTTTATTTTTGAGGAGGGGGAGGGGCGGCGAGAGAGGGAGACAGAGGGTCTGAAAAGGGCTCTGTGCTGACAGTAGAGAGACGATGCGGGGCTCGCACTCACACACCGTGAGATCGTGATCTGAGCCCAAGTCAGAAGCCTTAATGACTGAGCCACCCAGGGGCTCCTGGAAGTGACTCCTCTTTCTGAGTGTGACTGACCAGGTTTTTGTGTGCCCTGGAAACGCATTTACAAGTGTCGTGAAAGGAATAGAACTGATTTTTTTGAGCACCCACTGTATGCTGGGTGGTATCCCCAGCACCTTCACATATATGAGCCCTCTTGACCCTCCTGACCAAGAAAGCTGGGATCTGTGCCTGTTTTGCCCATGAGGACATGAAGCCTCAAAGAACCTATGCTTGTACCTCTCATGACTGCTGAGAGTCGAATCCGGGATTTAAGCCTAGGCCTCTCTGCTTGTTAAATTGGAGGATTTCCCTCTTCCCCTCCCCTCGCCCCCCACCCCGGTATGTCTCCACCTGGTAAAATGTAGGGACGCCTTTTGCAAGAACATATTCTCACTGCTACCCGTGTGCCACGCGGTGGCTCAGTTCACCCACCCTTTTCCCTAGGTGCGCCATCGCGCAGCCATTGGGGAAGGGGCGCCATGCTTGATCAGGTACCAGTTATATTCTACGTCAGCATCTAGGCTCTTCTCACTGGACTGCGACAGTGAAAGTGGCACCACTGGGCCCCGTCACAGAGACACTGACATTATGTGTTGTGTTCTAAAATAATTGCCTGGAGCAGCACTCTCTAGTGGAGCTTTCTGCAGTGATGGAAATGTTCTGTATCCGTGGTGTCCAGACCAGTGGCTCCTAGCTACACGTGGCCACTTGAACATTTGCAATGTGACCTGTGTGATGAAGGAACTGCGTTTTAAATTATATTTAAGTTTAGGGGCGCCTGGATGGCACAGTCGGTTAAGCGTCCGACTTCAGCCAGGTCATGATCTCACGGTCCGTGAGTTCGAGCCCCGCGTCAGGCTCTGGGCTGATGGCTCGGAGCCTGGAGCCTGTTTCCGATTCTGTGTCTCCCTCTCTCTCTGCCCCTCCCCCCGTTCATGCCCTGTCTCTCTCTGTCCCCCCCAAAATAAATAAACGTTGAAAAAAAAATTAAAAAAAAATAAATAAATTATATTTAAGTTTAAATTTCAGCAGCCACAAATGGCCTGAGAAGTTATTTATTTATTTATTTATTTTAACACTTACTCATTTTTGAGAGACAGTGAGTGGGGGAGGGGCAGAGAGAGAGGGAGACACAGAACCCGATGCAGGCTCCAGGCTCCAAGCAGTCAGCACAGAGCCTGATGCGAGGCTCGAACCCACAAACGGCAAGATCATGACCTGAGCCGAAGTCGGTCGCTCAACTGACTGAGCCACTCAGGCGCCCCAGCCTGAGAAGTTTTTAAAAACCCTAGTGTGGAGGCTACATCCCAGACCAAGTACATGAGACTGCTTGAAGGTACCCAAACATTGGTATTCCTGTAGATGATTCAGGAAATGCTGATATTACAAGGTGATGATCAAGATTAAATCACAACAAGTAAATTCTCTTAGGAGACCTATGGGACCTCAGTTTGAGAAACTGACATATACTATGCTGCCCGTAGGTGTTTGCCAATTCGCTTTTTTTTTCTTTTAAGTTTTCTTCTTTTAGTTGCGATTTATCATTGGCTTTTGTCAGGTTGCCCGATCCCTCTGTATTTGTGGTGGGGCTTTCAAGAGTAACAGTCTAATGCTCTGTGTATGTCCCTCCTAGGATGGCAAACTGTCATGAGTTGTGGCTGTTGGAAGTCTGCCAGCATTTTAGATTGTTATTTGAGTTTTAAAACAGAAGTTCCTATCATGACTGAGGAGCAAAAGCAGGATTTAAACCCTTTGACCATAAAGATCAAGTGTGTTTCCTGCCTTCCATCACAACCTGTGCCAATCCATGAACTAGAGGTAAGAGTGAGCCAGAAAAACGGACTTGAGAGCTCTTTTTCCCATCCAGTTGTCCGTGGCATCTCTACTTCCCCACCGTGACCTTATGTGAGATGTATAATCATTTAGGATCTCATAGCAAGATATGAGAGAGATTAGGTTCCTGGCATTAAGAGCTACCAACTCTTGATGTCTCCCCGCTGCACCACAGGTGTCCTTCAAGTGCAGGTAGTGATCCTCCCTTCAGATCCCACCCGCCAGGCTTCATGAATACAGTAACAGCACTCACCTAGATGCTCACTCATTTTGAACCAACCAGGTTTAGCACTGATGTTTATCCTGGGAGTTCCCTTTTTCCTTTCTTGGTGGGATCCTTGTTTCCTGGATTCTGTCTTCCTCTTGATTTGTTTGCTTTCTGGTTTTGCTGCTGGAAGACATCTTCCTGTAGATTCTTGAGAACAGGTTAATGAGAGGTAATTGTTTTGAGGTCTCATGTTCTGAAAATATCTTTATTCTACCCTTACACTTGATTTATAGTTTAGCTAGGCATAGAATTCTAATTTTCTTCAGAGTTTTGAAGGCATTGTTCTGCCATCTTTTATGTTCCATTTGGACCTTTATATGTGCTTTGAATGTGTTTTTTTTAAATATTTATTTAGTTTTGACAGAGAGAAAGAGACAGAGCATGAGCCAGGGAGGGGCAGAGAGAGAGGAAGACACAGAATCTGAAGCAGGCTCCAGGCTCTGAGCTGTCAGCACAGAGCCCGATGTGGGGCTTGAACTTACAGACTGTGAGATCATGACCTGAGCCAAAGTCAGACACTCAACCGGCTGAGCCACCCAGGCGCCCCTGAATGTGTGTTGTTGTTGTTGTTGTTTTTAACTTAGAATCTTCTTCTTGTCTTCTGAAACTGATTAATTATGTATCTTAGCTTGGGCATATCCACATCTGTGTATTATACTTTTATTTTGAAATAAAAGTTCAGATGAAGTTACAATCGTAGTACAGAGAGATCCTATGTAGTCTTTGCCCAGTTTTTTTCATGTTTATTATTTATTTTTGAGAGAGAGAGAGGGAGGGAGAGAATGAGTGGGGGAAGGGCAGAGAGAGAGGGAGACACAGAATCTGAAGCAGGCTCCAGGCTCTGAGCTGTCAGCACAGAGCCTGATGTGGGGCTTGAACCCACGAATTGTGAGATCATGACCTGAGGTGAAGTTAGATGCTAACCAACTATCACCCAGGTACCCCTGGTTTTTTTTCCAGTGGTTATATCTTATATAACTATAGTGTAATATCAAAATCAAGATATTGATAAATGTGTGTGTAGCTCTATGCCATTTTATCTTTTGTGTAGATTTATGTAACTGTCATTGCACTCAAGATACAGAATTACTACATCACCACAAAGATCTCTCATGCTATCGCTTTATGGTCACAACCACTTCTTAACCTCCCACCAGCTCTAACCACTAATGTGTTTTCCATCTCTATAATTTTGTCAATTTGAGAATGTTATTTTTGTGGGTTGAATTGTGTTCCTTCAAAAAGATATGTTGAACACCTAACTGCTAGCAACTCAGAATGTGACTTTATTTGGAAATTGGGCCTTTACAGAGGTAATCAAGTTAGAATGAGGTCATGAGGATGGGCTCTAATCCAATATGACTGCTGTCCTTATAAAATTTGGATGTAGAGACATAGAGGTAAGACTATATGAAGAGATATAGGGAGAATGCTATGTGAAGAGTAGAGTTATGCTGTCACAAGCCAGGAAGTGTGTCAGGCTACCAGAAACTGGAGGAGGCCGGGAAGAATCTTTCCTTAGCATCTTTAGAGGGAGCATGGCCTTGTTGACACCATGATTTTGCACTTGTAGCCTCCAGAACTGTGAGACAATGAATTTCTGTTGTGCTAAACCACCCAGTTTGTGGTAATTTATTATGGCAGCCCTGGGAAACGAACAGTTATATAAATGGAAACATCCATTGTATGACATTTTGAGATACGCTCCCCTGCTTCAGCATAATGCCCTTGCATTTAGTGCAGTTTTTTTTTTTTTAATTCACTAGCTCTTCTAATTGGTTTATTTAGACCATTTACATTTAGTGTAATTATTGATATTTTAGAGATTAGGTCTGCCATTTTATTTTTTTTATTTTTTTTTAATTTTTTTTTCAACGTTTTTTATTTATTTTTGGGACAGAGAGAGACAGAGCATGAACGGGGGAGGGGCAGAGAGAGAGGGAGACATAGAATCGGAAACAGGCTCCAGGCTCCGAGCCATCCGCCCAGAGCCCGACGCGGGGCTCGAACTCACGGACCGCGAGATCGTGACCTGGCTGAAGTCGGACGCTTAACCGACTGAGCCACCCAGGCGCCCCTAGGTCTGCCATTTTAATATTTGCTTTCTGTTTCTTTGTTTTCTTGCCTTCTGGTGGGTTATTTGAAAGCTTTCTAGAACTCTATTTTGATTATCTACAGCATTTTTGAATGCATCTCTTTATATAGGTTTTTAGTGGTTACTACAGGAATTACATTATGCATACCTAGCTTATCACAGCCTACTGGTGTCAACATATTTCCAGTTTGAGTGAAATGTAGAAACCTTACCTTTCATCAAATCTGTTTACCCTATCTCATTTACAATTGTCTTAAATATTTCCTCTACACAGGCTGAGAACCACATCAGATGATGTTATACTTTTTTTTTTTAATTTATTTTTTAAAACTCAAGTTAGTTAACATACAGTGTAGTATTGGTTTCAGGAGTAGAACCCAGTGATTCATCACTTATGTATTATACCCAGTGTTCATCCCAACAAGGGCTCTCCTTAATGCCCATCACCCATTTAGCCCATCCCCCCATCCACCTCCCCTCTGACAATCCCCAGTCCATTCTCTGTATTTAAGAGCCTCCTATGGTTTGCCTCCCTCCCTGTTTTTATCTTATTTTTCCTTCCCTTACTCTATGTTCCTCTGTGTTTCTTAAATTCCATATAAGTGAAATCATGTGATATTTGTCTTTCTCTGCCTGACTTATTTTGCTTAGCATAAGCGAAAACTCTAGCTCCATCCACATTGTTGCAAATGGCGAGATTTCATTCTTTTTGATGTGGAATAGTATTCCATTGTATATGTATACACACCACAGGATGATATTATACTTTTTGATTCATTGTCAAACAATTTAGAAAACTCGAAAGGAGAAGAAAAGTGTATTTATCTATAGGTTTGCTCTTTTTAGTGTTCTTTTTCCTTTTTGATGTTCCAAGATTTAAAAAAACATTTCTGTTTCAAGAAATTCCTTTAGTAATTCTTTTAGGGTAGATCTGATAACAACAAATTCTCTTAGTTTCTCTTTGTCTGAGCATGTCTATTTCTCCTCTATTCCTGAAGGCTAACTTCACTTGATTTAGAATTGGGGGTTGAGCATTTGAAAGAAGTTGTGCCACTTCCTTTTGACCTGTATGGTTTTTTGGTAAGAAATCAACTGTCTTTCCCAATAGGCTGGGTGGCATTTATTACTTGTAGCTTTCAACTTTTTTTTTTTTTTCTTTGTCTCTGGTTTTCAGAAGTTTGACTCGGTGTGTATTTCTTTGGGTTTATCCTATGGATTCACTCAGTTTATGGAAATTTTAGGCTTACATCTTTTGCCAAATTTGGGGAAATTCCAGCTATTATTTCATTATTTTTTCCTTTTAAAATTTTTATTTAAATTCTAGTTAGTTGACAGTGCAGTATTGGTTTCAGGAGTAGAATTCAGTGATTAATCACTTACGTACAACAACCAGTGCTCATCATAACTAGTGCCCTCCTTACTACCTATCACCTGTATAACCTACTCCCCACCCATCTCCCTCCAACAACCCTCAGTTCTCTATCTTTAAAAGTCTCTTACAGTTTGTTTCCCTCTCTTTCTTCCCCCCGTCTCATATGTTTATCTATTTTCTTTCTTAAATTCCACATATGAATGAAATCGTATGGTATTTCTCTTTCTCTCACTTATTTTGCAAGGCATAATACACTCTAGCTCCATCCATGTTGTTGCAAATAGCAAGATTTCATTCTTTTTGATGGCTAATATTCCATTGTATATGTATACCACATCTTTTTTATCCATTCATCAGTTGATGGACATTTGGGCTTCGTAGTATGGCTATTGTTGATAATGCTGCTTATAAACATTGGGGTGCATGCACCCCTTCAATTCTGTATTTTTGTTTTTTGTTTTTTTTTTATTTATTTTTTATTTTTTTATTTATATATGAAATTTATTGTCAAATTGGTTTCCATACAACACCCAGTGCTCATCCCAAAAGGTGCCCTCCTCAATACCCATCACCCACCCTCTCCTCCCTCCCACCCCCCATCAACCCTCAGTTTGCTCTTAGTTCTCAACAGTCTCTTATGCTTTGGCTCTCTCCCACTCTAACCTCTTTTTTTTTTTTTTCCTTCCCCTCCCCCATGGGTTCCTGTTAAGTTTCTCAGGATCCACATAAAAGTGAAACCATATGGTATCTGTCTTTCTCTGTATGGCTTATTTCACTTAGCATCACACTCTCCAGTTCCATCCACGTTGCTACAAAAGGCCATATTTCATTTTTTCTCATTGCCACGTAGTATTCCATAGTGTATATAAACCACAATTTCTTTATCCATTCATCAGTTGATGGACATTTAGGCTCTTTCCATAATTTGGCTATTGTTGAGAGTGCTGCTATGAACATTGGGGTACAAGTGCCCCTATGCATCAGTACTCCTGTGTCCCTTGGATAAATTCCTAGCAGTGCTATTGCTGGGTCATAGGGTAGGTCTATTTTTAATTTTCTGAGGAACCTCCACACTGCTTTCCAGAGCGGCTGCACCAATTTGCATTCCCACCAACAGTGCAAGAGGGTTCCCGTTTCTCCACATCCTCTCCAGCACCTATAGTCTCCTGATTTGTTCATTTTGGCCACTCTGACTGGCGTGAGGTGATATCTGAGTGTGGTTTTGATTTGTATTTCCCTGATGAGGAGCG